ATATATATATCTTTAGTTATTTCTAGATCCCAACTGATATACTCAGAGCCCAAACTAGGTTCCATAAACCTAAACTCGGGAGTTCCTTCTGCCTCAAATTTAATGATCTTGACACAAATAGAGACGGGAGTGGTTCAAGTCGGTTTAGGGCAGGATCCGAAACAGGAAGTGAGAGAAGCAGCCCATCTCCCTTAGGATCGTGTTACGCTATCCTGCCTCACACTTCATCAGCTTCTAGGAGAAGGAGGGGAAAGAGACCTAGGACACCCACGCAAGCCGCACTCACTCTGTGCTCTGTTTATCCGTCTTCTGCTTCCCTCCACCCCAAACTCTTTCCTTCTCCCCCACCCCCCATCTACTCTGCCACATCCTTCCTCTTCCTCACCTTCCTTACTGCTCCCGTCCTTAGCTTCTTACCACCCATTGTGGATGGAAATATTCTCTCTCAATGTTGCACAGAATATAATGATCCAAGTTCTCCGCGTCTGATATTAGATATACTCCTTCCTTCTCTTGTGTGCTGCCTGACACCAATCCAAAGCTTTTCCCAGGTTTACGGATATTCCAAGCTATTTTGGGTAAAGGTCAAATACTCTCAAAGGCAAAGGGAAGACAACATTAATAATTTTCTAAATTGTATTCCTGTTAAACTACTTACATGTTACTAATACAGGTCCTATGACTTTGTTATACCAATCCAAAACCATGCTTTCTTCAGATGAGGATAGAACAGGGGAATAAACAAATAAACAAGACTCACAGTTCCCCTTCTTGAAGAATATTCTTGAACCGTACAAAAATATTTCAAAGAATGTTGGCAAATTACGTTCCCTTTTACATTGGTACAGATATTTTCTGACAATATTTTCAGGTAAGGAACTAACACAAAAGGCGGGGCTTAAAGATGTAAAGAAAAGTCTAAAGAAAGCTTTATTTGACAGAACTTTTTGTTCCTCATGTTTTGCATAGTGTCTGTTATATGGCAAGATAGAATTATATGTTGCCATTAAAAAGATGCTTTACATTTCATAAGATTGAATTTAATTTTCTTACTTTTCACCTCTACGTTTTCAGTTCGGCATATTAAAATCAAACACTGTTCTTGGTAATCACTGGAACATTTGCCCAATGTGTTGATTCATATACACACTGAGGTATAGCTTCATGTTCAAATGTATATAAAGATCTGTGGATTCTGATATTATCAAAAGCTGTACCAACCATGAATTCTTCCATGGTTAAAGTCTTTCCTGTATGAACTTTCATTTACTATGGTAGTTCACAACCAATTTTTAAATATCTGTACTCAAAATGAATAATCTTTCCATTTGTGCGTGGAGGAACATTTCCTCTATGAATTCTCACAACTATTTTAATTCCTCACATCATATGCTGTGTTAATGTAACTCTCTCTATAAATGTACAATTCATATATTTAAATGCCCAGGGAATTGAGCCACTCCACGGAATAAATAATGCTCTGAAGAGTTAACATTTTTATTAATTCAAAGTATCCATAACTCCAAGAATCTATACCTGAGGTTCTTAGTTCTGCCCTTGTCGCCACCATTGACAGCGATTACAAATAAATGCTACCTGTTAGAAACCATTGTGGAAACAATTTTCTCACATGAAAAATAAATGTGAGTATCTGTGCAAATTGAGATGGATGTGGTATATTAGAACCAAACTATTATTCAGTGTCTGGGCTTGTGGAATGTCTTATTTCTTTTCTAGCTACTGAGTGAAGCCACACACACACACACACACACACACACACACACACACACACACACAAAATGGCTGATTACGCTTGCATTCCAAAAGGAAACCTATACAGATACTAACAACTTCCCTCTGGAGTGACTCCAGTCTGTATGTGTTGTCATTCGCAGAAAATCCATTCTCGGGTCTGTGCTGTTCAGCATGACATTACAGAATGAGCCTCCAATGGAAATAATAGCTCCGGGAGTGTGGGATAGAAGTCAGCCAGCCCCGGTGACCCTACAGGTAAGTGCCAAGCTATGAGATTAAAGTCCACACGGCAAGTGTTGGTTGATAAGTAGTTTCTTGGTCAATTACAGAAACAATTTCTTCCAGGATCACACATTTTAATAGTCTTCTTTTCCTCTAGCCCGCTGGGATTCCTGAAACAACTGCTTTGACTCTGTATTCAGAACACTCAAAGCACTTTTCCCCCTCGCTTGTGTAATAGCAGTTTCAAGCCGTACTCCATCGTGAAGGATAGCAGTGGAGTGTTGTCATTAATATGCTCATTATGGGCTTTCATTTATTTCCATTGTCTAGAAACAGCCATTGGTGTATGTTATTAACATGGTACCTTACTCACACCTGCCTCAGCATTGTGTCATGTTTCTTTAAAATCTCTTCTGTCACACATTTCCTTAATGACTACCAATTCACTGCATAGTAGGGGAAAATTGCAAACAAAATCCCCTTATTATACCTTTATTCATTTCCTAACCCTCTCTGCTGTCATTTGAGATTTGAATAAAAGGTGGTCAGTGAGTCCAGACTTTCCGAGAGCTCTTCGTCTTACCTGACGTCAATCTTTTGTGTTGGTCAGTGTCTTAGTCACTTTCCATTTGTTGGGACAGACATCCAATGTGCACAATTTAAAGGAGGGGAGGTTTACTTTGGTTCACCATTTCACTCCATGGTCAGCAGGCAGCAAGGCAGAAACAGCACAGTGGAATGGTTTGATGGGGGAAAGGTGCTCAATCTCAGAAAACAGAGAGAGAAGGGAGGTGCTAGGGATGAGAATACGCTCTTCTGGGTCACACTCCCAGTGACCCACCTCCAACCAGGCCCTACCTCTGAACAGCACGTTCAGCTGCTGAACTCATCAATGGATGAACCTACTGATAAGTATAGCGCCTCCAAGATCCACTCACCTTCCAAACACATGTGACGGAGACATCTTAGATCCAAACTTAAGTTAGATACCTCAAACGTGGATACTCTCCTAGTTGGAAATGCAGCAATTGGCAACTTCCCATTCCTACAGGAGAAACTAGGAACTTCGATCTGAGCAGTACTCTCAGAAACAGATTTCTCAGTCTCAGCACCCTTTTGGTGTGGATAATTCTTTGTTGAGAATATCCTCCTCCTGGGTATTGTGGGATGCTTAGCAGTATCACTTACTTCTACCCACTGTATTCTAGTAGCCCCTCCTCAGTTCTGATGCTTAAAATGTCTCTAAATCACCAAATGGCTTCTAGGGACAAATGGCTTCTAAGTGCCCTCATGTAAGGATCACTACTCTAGAGAAAGCTCATAGAGTTTAAATTCACAGGATTAGAGTAAAAGGTATGGGGGATATACTTTAGAAAAGTGCACAGAAAGATCTTGAAAAGAACGAAAAAATTAATGTTATAAAAATGTGACCTCATGGTACAAGACTAGAAAGCTCTACCAGACTACTTAAAGATTCATTCTACTCATGGGAAGAATAAAAAAGAAATTCTTCAGTTTAGATCTTGGTACATCACAAACACTTTACACATAGTGATTTATTAGTAGGTGTCCGGTTGTAACAGAGAAAAGAAATATATCCACCAACAACAGGAAAGATTCACCATAAGCCTGATAAACATATTCAGAACTAATGAAGACCTGCAAGATGTTATGGTTCTACTTGGTCACAGTGAATACATATTTCATATGTGATTACTATGTTCCAGACATCTTGATAAACACGCTTACAGTGAATGAATATGAAACACCAAACCAATAATTCAAGGAATGCAAGATCTAGCTAGCGAGACTTTCCCAAGTTACCTTAACACAATGTGACAAAAATGTAATTATTGATTAGTGTAGAGGCACTAACACAATAAGAAAAACAGGAATAGTTCTGAAAGGAAGGGAAAAAGCGAGGGAGGAACTCCCAGATGCCCTCCGAATGCTCTCAGCAGATTGAGTAAATTCTCGCTGACCAGTTGCAGAGGGGAAAATGATCCAGTCTGAAAAGACTGAGAAAAGAAATTTTTATTTCACAATATGACAAGTTAGCTAAGGTAAAGAAGAAATTATATGACAAACATGATAAAAGGTGGAAAAACATTAAGGCATTCTGTTGTATACCAGATTTGGATAAGATTATCTGGGGAACGAGTCATAGAAAATAGTTCTAGAAACACTGTACAAATTGTTCCAGAACACGCGGGAACTGCGTGCATGGACACTTTTTAGAGAAACATCTTAGTGATCTCAGCTGAAGATCATAGAGTCAAAAGTAAAAAAAAAAAAAAAGTAAGTAATGGATTTTAGCAACTTTTTTTTTTTAAACATGAGGGGATACAATTTTATGAAGGAAATTTAAAAACACACACAAATGAGTTCCTAACTCAGTATCAATATCTTTAGTTTTAAGGAAGAATGCAGACTAGACGTCAGTTGAATATCACATAAATTCAGTTTGGGACACACTTTTTTTTATGGGGTCTTGTAGGGCATTTAGGTATGAATGACAGCTACTTTTCTTTTAATAAAAAGGTAAGTGAGGTTTTGTTGCACTGCTAAGGGAATGAACCCAGGGTCTCATGTGTGCTGGGTAAGTGCTCTCCACAGGGCTATGGCCAAAGCCCTATGATTTTTTTTTTTTAAATCAAAGTACTTCTTGTCAGAGCCAAATCACCTCAGTTTATAAGTCTAAGACTTGCAGTCTATTACCAGAGCTTTATTGGACATAAAATTCTTGATTTTAGGGGTCTTGGGAGATAGGATAGCAGTGGAAGTTAAAGAAGTAATAGAGACTATCGAATGAGATAGTCATTAGATGCTTCTCAGATGAGGAGAAAACCTCCTTTTGGAACACAGATTCTGGCAAGTGGAATATCAAGAAAATCTGTCAAGTATTCAACAGCAGCACAGGTTTACAACTTGAAATCAAGACCCATAACAGAATGCATCTTTTTAAAAAGGGGGGAGTGGAACCTATAATAGCCGTTCAACAGTATGCAAAAGTGAAATTATGATTTTTAGACAGTAATTTCAAGTGGTACAGATACACAGGGAGCATAGAAGCATGTTTTATTATTCATTTATTTGTTTTATTTTATTTTATTGTTTGGTTTTTTGAGACAGGGTCTCACTATGTAGTTGAGACTGACCTGGAACTCACTATGTAGCCCAGACTGGTCTCAAACTCATGGTGATCCACCTGCCTCAACCTCCCGAGCGCTGGAATTACAGCCATGTGCCACCACGCCAGGCTAGAAGCATGTTTTTAAATTGATGATGAGATATACAAGCTTTAGTCATTATAGCCATTCAGTTAGTAAAACTCAAATGTTTAGTAACCAGCAATGGTTTTATGACATAGTGAGTTAAATATAGAATAGACTATTTCAATTTAAAGATTCCATGAAAAAATTAGAAGCACGTTCTCCCACCAATGTTTATGTTAGAGAATGAGTATGTGTCTCAGGAAAAGACCTCAGGCTGAGAGGTAGAAAATCTGGATTCTACTCTTAGCTCTTTAACAAAAATATGCATGACCTTGAACAAATCAACTAATCTGTTCTTTCCTGCATACACTGAAAGGATTATGCTGCCTGTCTAACTTTTGTCAGGACTCTACTTTCGTGATTGTGTTTACTAGATGGGTGGCTACTACCGCAGGATAGTCCACCCCGTATGACAAAGGTTGTGCTACGTCGCAGAATATGTTTCCTTCGAGTCAGTGATTTGTATTCGGTGTATCAGTAAAATTACTGGTCCTGTTCATTTCTAAAGCTTTCTTCGTGGTATCTACTCAAGTACACTTGCGAGTCTACAGGTGTAGCTTAGATTTCTTCATACCACAAGCTACAGATGGAGAGAGAGAGAGAGAGAGAGAGAGAGAGAGAGAGAGAGAGAGAGAGAATATATTCACTGAAACCCCTACCCAGGTCTCCTATTGGCAGCTTCAAACATAACATATTCCAAACTGAGCCTACCTTCTACATAATTTTATTCACACCCTGAGTTATCTATATGTTCTGCACGCACCTCCTTGCTTTCCTTGCTTCCTCTTTTCTCCCTCTCCCTTGTATTGTCCATGCTACATCCTGCCAGTTTATCTTCAATATTTTCCTTCTTTCTTTCTTTCTTTCTTTCTTTCTTTCTTTCTTTCTTTCTTTCTTTCTTTCTTTCTTTCTTTCTTTCTTTCTTTCTCTCTCTCTCTCTCTCTCTCTCTCTCTCTCTCTCTCTCTCTCTCTCTCTCTTTCTTTCTTTCTTTCTTTCTTTCTTTCTGGCACTAGGGAATCAAATTCAGGACCACGCACTTGCGAGGCAGGTGGCGGCACCCACTGAGTGAAATCGCCGGCCCCTCTTCAATGTTTTCTTTAAGTCCGTCCTTTCAGAGACTCACCTCTTCCGCCCTAGTTCAGGCAATTGCTACGATTTACAACACCTCAGCTCAGGGTTACTTTTTCATTCTTCAGTCCTTTAGTCACAGCGTGATCCTTCTACAGCTTCAATCTGAACTTGTCACTTTCTTACTCACACTCTTCAATGACTCGGCACTGCCCAGAGAATAAAGGCCATGCTCTATGGCAGAGCTCTCTCCCATCTCTTCTCTTGCTTTTCTCTTTTTGACACTTCAAGCTCTACCAACTTTGAAATGTTGTTGTTTCTGACGTACACAGTTTTGCATTTAGCTTATGTGAAATATGAATATTTCCCCTTTTCTGAATTATGCCTTCTCTCACCTCTTCACTCTCTCTGCCCACCAGTCCTCTGACTGAATTATATTCATTCTTTACTATCTACAGACCCTCTTCTAGGAATCTCTTCCCGACCCCCTCCTTCTTATCCCATGCAAACTTGTTTCCTTTCTTGGTGTTGACATAATAGAAAATAATATTTTTATCCATCCTCTTCTACAGCACCTCCACAGTGACTGACCACAAGTCCCACTCAGTTTGCTGATGTTTCTTTCTCTGAACTGCTGTAAAGCTTATGATCTAACATGCGTGTGCCTCATGATGCCCACAGTACATTTACAGTCCCAGTGGGTGTTCTCTGAGTAAGCTAAGAATTGTGGGCCCCATTTGGGTCCAGATGCCCCTAATGGAGATGGTTATGGGCATGAACACTACGGATTTCAAAACAGCCTCTCAGGCAGTGCTAAATCACGAAGCTGCCCTAGGAACCAGAATGACCGAGTGCGCAAAGAGAGGAAGCAAAGCCAGAAGGATAAATGGTAGATAGGAAGTCTATACTCGTGTAAGGAGTGGGAATTAGAAGGGAGAATGATGGGCATCTTAATATACCCTTTTCCTCAGAGGAAAGACCTTATAATCTTGTTTTTATTATTGTTTTTAAAATCAGGAGTGTATCTTCAAGGGTTGAAGCCAGAGTGCCATAGCACAAGGAATGTAGACATTTGAAGAGATCTCTTGTAATATTTCATTAAAGAGAAATTTAGGTCCTGTTAGCCAGGACCATAGAAGGAGAAAGACAGAGCCATATGTTCATAACTAGTTGAAGCACAGCTTTGGGGTACTGTGTATTTAGGTCAGTAGATACTACTGCATTGTATCTTCCATAATTCATGAGGTGCAAAGATACTGTACAGTAAATACAAAGATGCATAGTTTTGGAGAACAACTCTTCTGCGAAAAGCCAGAAGACTCTCCACAAGGAATGCAAACATTATGCACTACAAATATGTACTAATAAAAAGAAAGTTAGCTGGGCATGGTGGTGCACACCTATAATCACAGCACTCAGGAGGCTGAGGCAAGAGGATCACTGTGAGTTTGAGACCAGCCTGGGCTACATAGTGAGTTCCAGGACAGTCTCAACTACTTAGTGAGATGCTGTCTCAAATGCTCCTGCCAAAAAAAAGAAAAAGAAAGAAAAGAAAGTTAAAAGAAAAGGCCACTGGAGAAATTCCAATATTTTCTACCAGTGGCTCTAAAATCAGTTAAATATTTAGGACCATATTCCATGAAAACGTAATTTGATATAAGGCTCACTCGTGTATTAAAAGTAAACATTTGCCTAAGTAAAATATGTATGAATACATTATAGATTTGTGCTCAGAGATACCTTTATATTCTCATGCACTGTCTCTCCCTTCCTCATCCACCCTGCCATTTATTTGGGACTGCCACAAAACTGTCTTAACTCATTAAACATCATTTTTAATATATTCTTTCCACCTGTATAACGGTATTTAGCACAAAAAAAGAAACATCTAACCAGTTTGTACTATATAAGCATCCATCTAAGGCATCAAAGTAAATCCTTCACAATTAATCCAGAAGGAGAAAAATTTACTGTAATACTGCTTTGCTTTAGCTTATTTATTACATTTTTATCAGATTGCAACAATAATTGATGTATGATAAAAATTATAACAAGAATAATTTCAAAAATATTAGTGATCATAGAATGAAATCTAAATCTTTTCTAATAACTCAAAACTCATTAAAATGCATTTCGAGCTGTATCATAGTCTATCATGTTCTCCAATTTTCTCCAAGATTTCAACCAAAGGTTGGAAAAATAAGCAGAAAACATAAATTCTGCAGATTAATGTTAAAGTGAAAAAAAAACTACAGTCTTAAAAACTATGTGGTGTACTGAGATGTCCATTACATTTACATAGTTTGGAACTATCTTTTTTATTAATTGTTACTTTACTTACTAGAACCAGATAATTATTGAGACATGGTTCAATTGAATCAGGAACAAAGGATCCCTGGAATCCAGCTCCGTTTATAAATCTGAACTGCAAAGCCAAGACAGAAATATTGTATTTGATGACATAATGTACCTGCAGAATAGGTACCACTGGAGAAGAGCTCACTCTTGTGTCTAAAAACGGTTCCCAGACTTGCACTCTGAGAACAATGTAGAGTAACTCTTCATTAGCCTAAGTGATTATATGAAAGAGATAATTATTGTCTTCAAATTTCTTCATTTCATAATAGAAAAACATTTTAACATGGAAATTTAGAAGGGATATAATCTTAGTTTTCAACCAAAAATGATATATTTAGTTTTCTTTAAAGTGTATATATTGCTATTATCTTTTACTTCCTCTTAGGCAATATTGTAGATCACTAATCTATACAATATGTATAAAAATTGGACAAATGCCATATACATTTAAATAACATGTCCAAATTCCAACTATCCTTTAAAAATTATTATAAAGCATGAAATAGCACAGGAAAAATGGAAATTATTCTTTACTTTCTACAGGTCTAAAGCAGAGGATATTGAGTTAATAGTGCACTTGGAGGCACCCTCAATACAGGGCATGTCATTTCTTTATTTCAGATTGATTTTCCAGCTACTGGATGGGAGTATATGAGACCTGATTCTGAAGAGAATAGAACTCATCTTGAAGAACCACCGAGAGAGTGTTTGAAACATATTGCCAGTCTTTCGCAGAAACAGACTCCTTTATTGTAAGTGACGGTTCTATGATGAATTTTGTCTGCTTTTCATGATACCATCAGTCATACTTGAAGCATTCATCTCTTCAAAGAATGAACCTTCCTTTAAGCATAACTCCTTTCCTTTCCTAAAGTCACAACTGTTAGATGATCAATTAATGTTTAGAAACCAAATAAGGAATTTTCTATGCTTATAAAGAGTCTTTCCCCTGTGGTATTTAATAACATTAGGAGAAGGAACAGTGAATAGATTATCGTTCAGTTCAAAATATGAAAGCTTGAGTGACTGGATATATTTCTACACATAGCAATGGGAAACCATTATTCATCCTTCAAATAGGCAGGAAGTTGCTTTGGTAAACAGGAAAAAGTGAAATTTAATTAGTGTGGCAGATTAAAAAAAGAACAGGAGTAAATACAGTAATGTTTTAATAGCACTAAATTAGTAAGCAAAGAGTAGTTACATTTTGTCAAACAGTAGCTCTCTAAATAAAATCAAATCTTATTACAGCTCTACTTTCTAATTTCAACTCATATTATTTTCTCATTCACTTCAAGCCGGTGACATCTCTTTCCTTTGAATGCATCCAATATACCATCCCACTCTCATCAAAAGATCTTTTTAGGTGATGTTTCCTCTATTTGAAAGACTTTTTCCTAAATTTTTCACATCTAAATCACCTCGCCCTTTCAGTTTTAACTTAAATGTCATCTCTCAAAGAAGTTGTCTTTGACCAGTGTAATGAAGTATTTCTCTCTTCACTCTCTGTCATGTTGCCTTTTATGTTATAACACTCAATATGAAGTCACTGCCGTCCAGTTCACTCACGTGAATATGTCATGGTTCTTTCGTTAATTCCCAAGAAGGAATGTAGCCCAGCAAAGAACCCATCTGTTTTATCACTGCATTGTCAATATTGCATATGGCATGTGACAAATAATACGTGTAAAATAAATATATACTAGGGGCTAAAATGTCCTTGCATGGTGTCTGGTATAAGAAGTTTCCCAAAGGGCTGAAGATGGTGGGAGAAGCCTCATCATCCTCATGACACAAATATTAACAATTCCTTGTCTTATTAGACTATGATCATTTTAACTAAGTGAAGCGTTTTTTCCACTTCTTACTCAGAAATATAAAACTTTCAATTTAGTGTGTCGCACACAGGAAATCTACAGGTCTGTAATGAGAGAATTTTTAAATAAAAATGCAGTGCTTTCAAATTTTAAGTATCTTCGATCAAAAAAGGTCAAACAAGTGCTAGTAACAGTGATTGCCTTTAAATATTAGAAAGGTGCTTTTTAAAATTAACCTCAGTGAAAGCTGGGCATGGTGGCACACTCCTGTAATCCCAGCACTGGGAAGGCTGAGACAGGAGGATTGCTGTGAGTTTGAGACCATCCTGGGCTACATAGTGAGTTCCAGGTCAGTCTCAACTATGTAGTGAGACCCTGTCTCAAAAATAAATAAATAGATAGATAGATAGATAGATAAAAATAAAATTAACCTCAGTGAGTTCTACTTCTTTTGTACTTCGAGTTCTATTTATGTTAATAGTACAAATAAAATAAGCAATATTTTTTTCTGTGCCCACCTAACTATCCTTATTCATGTTCAGTACAGTACAGTTTCATTCTGGACTGTGAAAACAGATGGAGAACAGCCTTCGATGTGGTAAAACTTGTGTTACAATCAGATTGACTCTCCTTTCCAGATAACATTTAGTTAGGTGGCTTAAGCCAATTAACATTTTATCAGGTAGTTGGTGACTTAATTATTCCTTCTTTCCAATTGATCAAGTGTAATCAGACTCAGGAAATTTCAACTCAATGAAATACCATAAAAAAGTGCTTGTGATATTTGTAAAAATTAAAAATTGAAAAAAATTATTCTCCAATTAACCAAAAAGTGGTTCCAAATATGTGGATGGCCCTAGAGAAAACATAATACAAAAATTTGTATTGATAAAAAATTAATGTTGGGCTGGGGATTTAGCAAGGACCTGAGTTCGATACCCGATACAAAAAAAAAAAAAAAAAATTAATGTTTCCACTTCAACATGAAGGTTACCTAGTACCAGACAAATCCCACTCACTTAAAGAACTATGGCACAATCAAAATACCTGTGAAACAACCATTTTCAGGAATTGAGCAGACAGGACTTGAGGTAAGGCTCATGATTAAAGTGGCTTTTGGCCTGGAGGTTTAGTGTCAAAATAGCGTATGCAGTCTTGCTGAAGTTTAAAAACAAAAAGCCGAAATCAGAGTTCAGCAATCCTAAAACAGCTGGAGTCTTTAGAGCATAACAGGAAGGGAAGCAAGGTAGACAGGTTAGTAGCTACAGACTCTGTAGAGGGCCCCCTTTAATATACAGCTGAGTACTAAGCTTCTTGTGAGCAGGTTGACTTTTCTAGGCCTGCAGGAAGATAGGAAATGGGTGAAGACATGAGAGGTTCAACAATATTAGGAGACAGAGAAATCCCTATTGGTAACAATGAAAACAGCGCACAAAACATCTGATATTCCATAGGGAAGGCAGAAACATGCATAGCGGAATTAAGTCAATTCTAGCCCTACATTAAGGACCAATTTAATAAATCATAAAAACAAGCTTCTAAAGGATCAGGCTGCCTTGCCAATAATTAAACTGCCTACTGAAAAATTAATCACCCGACACCCACAAAGATAGCAGAATGCTAACTCTCAATAATGTAACACTTCAAATGTATAATGTACACTTGTTAATCAGAAAAATAATGAGGGTATATCTATCGCACTATGAATAATTAGGAGAGTAAGTGGGGAGAATCTGGAAAATATAACTGTAGCCTGCCACAGTACAGTAGTTAATAGAAATAGACACAAGTGTTTTAAATGATCAGTCAGTGATTTTAATACAGGCATTGCAAAGGTGTTTGTGAGTTTTAAAAGATATATGTAAGTGGAACATGAAAATTTTAGTGACAAAGTGGAAATTTCAGAACTGAAAAAATATTTGAATCACTAGATGCTTAGACAGCATAGATTGCACAGTGCAGGCAGAAAAAGCAATGTGAACTTGAAGAGCAATGGAAATTATCCATATTGAAGTACAAAAAATTAAAAATAAAAGAACCCTACAAGTAATATTAGATCCCTGTGATCTATCTATTAGACAACATCAAGCCACATAATATGTGTGTGTGGACCTACCAGAGAGGTGAAAGTCAGGAAAAAAATAATTAGAGAGATGGACAAATTTTATAAATTTGATTTCATAAATTAACACATAGATATAGTCAAGCATTAAAAGTATATAAATTGAACTACTTAAAATTTAAAGGCATTTATCAAAAGCCACCCCTAAAGAAATAAACAAGCAAAGCATGTTTTGAGAAAAATATGTGTAAAACTTTTATAAGACAAAATTTTTGTATCTAGAGTATATAAAAAATCATATAAATAAATGCAAACAACCGCACAAAAACATGGGCAAAAGACTAGCAAACACTTCAAAGGAAAATATGTAAAGAAATGGCATATGAAAAATTACCCAGGCATCAGGTAAGTAATAATCACAACCACAAAGATATGGTACTGTGCACCATTAGAATGGCTACTATTGAAAAGCAGGGATTTAGGTCAGTGGCACCGTGCCTGCCTTGCAAGCTGCTCCTCAGTTTGATCCCTGGTACCAAAGGGGGTGGAAGGAGAGGAGGGGAGGGGGAGAGGGAGAGAGATAGAGAGAGAGAAAAGGAATATGTTTGCTGGGGGTTTGGCTCAGTGGTTCTGCCACCTGCCTCACAAGCATAACGGCCTGAG